TTTGTTTATAACACAAATGCATATTTCTTTTTGTAGATAAAAAATTGTGTGTATAACAGCGCGAAATAATTGCCTATAAAACACTTATAAAATAGTGTTTTTGTCTTCACGCGCGTGACATAGAGTATTTGCCAACACATTTTTTATTTATTTATCTAAACATAAAAAAAGAGATGTCTATTTTATTTTAGAGAGTATATCTACACGTGGGAGATTTCTCTCCACACACTATATTTTTATGGCACTTTTGTCGTCAAAAATTTAGTTTTAGAGCGCTACACACACACATATATGGAGTATATTATACACATATACATATATATATATATATATATATATATATATATATATATATATATATATACACATATATATATATATATATATATATATATATATATATATATATATATATATATATATATATATATATATATATATATATATATATATATATATATATATATATATATATATATATATATATATATATATATATATATATATATATATATATATTTACGTGTAAATTACAAACACCCCCTGAGGTATGGTCAATTTAAAAAAAACCCTCTTGTTTGGATAATTACATCTACCTCCCTCAACTTTGGGTTTTTCTTACACTTTCACCCTTATGGTGTCAAATTCAACATAATCATCTAGATTCCGTAGAATGTGCTATAGTTTGTACTCGTTTTGTGTAAAAATACAGTTTCTGATGCACCACAGTCTGATATATACAAGCCAAAAAACACATCTTATGATTAGCTTGCTTCAAAATGTAGAGTTCGAATGTGATAAAACCGGTACAAAAGTGATAATATTCCATATAATCTCGATGATTCCACTAAATTTGAGGAGTTGAGGGGTGCTTATAATTATCCAAACAGGAGGGGGTTTTCGTAATTTTAACAATACTTTAGGGGGTTGTTGTAATTTAACCTATATTTATTTTCCTATGGGACCACCGACCATGTCAGAAGTTGAGATCATGTGCAATGCTTTTCATGTTTTTTTGTTTTATTGACAAATAAAAATAGATGCTATATATAAATGCGTGCAAGTGAAGTAACTTTTCAATCACCATCTAAATTAAAGGCCCTAAATCTTAGTGCCAGCTACAAAAAAGATATCGTGACAGCAAACTAAATTTCGTTCATGTATTAATAAGAATAATATACTTAAATGCATTTTATTTTCTTTGGTCAACACTGTATAACTCCAATAAATAAATATTTTTAAATTAAATGCATATGTATTTATAATTAATTCAACAAAGACCAATCTCCCAGGCTGTCTGATAATTAGTTGAGATTCGTTATAAATTAATGTCGGCTCAACTATATTTATTTACAGTTGAAGCCCATTATGAGTTAATAAGATTCAATAGTGGGCTGCATGGTTTTTTAGAATATACATTAAAATTAATAAAATGGATTTGCGGGTCAAAATGGGCCGGGCCAGCCCGTCTTACATGCATATATAGTCCAACAAGTCTTTTTTTACAATCAAAATGTACAATAATATACATTCAATTTTTTTTATTCTTCATTTTGATTGTACATATTGCATTCAATATTCACTAATCATATTTTTACCATAAACATTTTTTTAAGTTATTCATTAATTATTAACTCGTCGGTTTTGTAAATAAATTATTATTATTATTATTATTATTATTATTATTATTATTATTATTATTATTATTATTATTATTATTATTTTATTTTATTTTATTTTATTTTGTTCTATTATTATTATACTAGTAATGTAGTTTGTGGGTAATAAAAAATAAAAACAAGGCCCAGGTAGTAAGAGATATTTTGGAGCATTGAAAAAACGTGTTTAAAGTGGATAGCGCGTTTTGAGTGTGATGAATTATTGGGTCTGTTCCCCATAACGCGTGTATTGTCACACTGCTGGAATTTTCCACAGTTGCATTTATGAGCCATGCTTATCTACTGAGTGTAGTACTTTTTTTTTTTTTTTTTTTCTTTTTGTTTCTTGAAACGTGGATTATTCCATCTGGCTATATTTATATATTTCTTATTTTCGAATCTTTTATTTACATCGTTAATTATTATTAATTTAAACTAAGTTATTTACAGCAAAAAAAATAATACAATACAAAATTCCACTCATTTGATACATGATTACAAAATTTTAAATAATATAGGCCAAATAAATTTTATCTATTTAAAAACTAGCTAGAGAAATTTCGTAATGCAACTATATTTGGTCGTCTATTGTGTGCTGACTGTGACCTTTGAAATTGTCTTTTATGATGACTTTGTTAATAATTTATTTATCAGAAAAAATAAATTAAAATATTTAGAACTTAATAGCATAAGATAAGATGATAAGAATTTTTATTTTGTCCGATATATGTTCTTGCTATTTTACCGAGGACGAAAATTAATCCAATTAATCTAAATAAAGTAATGATGATGATACTAATAACAATAATAATAATCTAAAATTCAATAATTAGTAGGTTTTAACTTTCAAGTGACCATATAACTGTGGTGTGTGTGTGTGTGTCTGTGTGTGTGTGTGTGAGAGAGAGAGAGAGAGAGAGAGGCCGGCAGGATTCTTTTGAGGATTCCAAACGAGTGAACCCCACACGTGACGGACAAATCCGTTATGGCGGTTCTCAGCACTCGAGTGGGACCCACTTCCCCAATCTTGCATTTGCATCTGGGTTTGCATTTGAATTTGCATTTCAGTTGAGTTTGAATTTACATTTGGGAAATGGAACCAGTAAGACACAGAAGTGGTGTGAGAGAGAGTGAGAGGTTGGACCCTTTCTTTTGAAGATTTGACTATTGACCAATTTGAAAAAGTTCTGAAATTATAAGAAATAAAATATAATATATTAAAAAAAAAAGTTTTCTTTTTTAAAAAGAAAGAAAGAAAGAAGAAGAGAAGCCACACTTTCCTACTCCCTTCCTCCACACACACCTTCTGTAAAATTTGAACAGAATATATACACATACATATATACATATATATATAAACTCAGCTCCTTTCACAACTCAACCCACAACCCAGTACTAATTCTTACACAATTCAAACATTTTCTCAACCAACTTATCCTCTCTCTTTTTTCATTACAAGGTATGCTTTCTTCATTTTTTGCAAATAAAGACTCGATTTTTATTTCTTTTTATTACATGTTGGATGGGTTATATTTAATTATTACTCTTATGGGCTTTGATTTTGAGTCTTTTTATTCTGGGCTAATTAACGACCAAGTCTTTTGTAAATTTAGTTTTCTTTGTTTTTGATGTTTGTTGAGGGAGTCTTGTTGACACCCTGGATATAGGGTGGAATTAGCCGTTCATTGTCGACATTAAAAAAATGTTTTTTATTAATTTTTATTATTTAAGGAGGCCTGGTTCAGACAATAATAGGTGGAATTAACAATAGATTTCTGATTAGTTATCGATGTTTGCACATATTTATTGATTGAGATTTGTTGTTCTCCATTCACATCTGAGAATCCTAAATTAATTTCTCCCTCTTTCTACTTTTCCTTCAGGGTTTCTTCATGTGCAGTGGTTCAAAGAGTAAACTTTGCCCTTTTGATTTGGAAATGGAAACTGGATTTCAAGATGATAAAAATGGGATCTTGAACACAAATTTGCTTGATTTGGCAGCTACGGACGATTTGGCTGGTTTTATCCATGGAGTAGAAGAAAAGGGGTGTGATCTTAACAAGGCAAGCTTTTGGTACGGCAAAAGCTTCGGCTCGAAGAAGATGGCTATGGAGGAAAGAACCCCCATCATGATTGCTTCTTTATACGGGAGCACCAACGTTTTGAACTACATAATAAGCACCGGCCTAGTCGACCCCAATCGAGCTTGCGGCTCTGATGGCGCCACCGCCCTCCACTGCGCTGCCGCCGGCGGCTCACCGTCATCTGCCGATGCGGTTAAGATCCTGATTGATGCCTCTGGCGACATCCACGCCCTCGATTCCAACGGGAAGAAGCCGAGCGATGTGATCGCGCCATGTGTCAAGCCCTCGTTCAATTCGAAGAGGAGATCACTCGAGATGCTGCTGAATGGAATTAACGGAATCGATTCCGATTTCCCGGAAGTTGAAGAAGAAGAAGGGAGAGTGGAGAAGAAAGAGTACCCGGTCGATGTATCCATGCCCGACATAAACGAGGGTGTTTACGGGTCGGCCGAGTTCAGGATGTATAGCTTCAAGGTGAAGCCTTGCTCGAGGGCTTACTCGCACGACTGGACCGAGTGCCCCTTCGTCCACCCTGGCGAGAACGCGAGGAGGCGTGACCCCAAGAAGTACCACTACTCTTGCGTACCCTGCCCCGATTTCAAGAAGGGAGCCTGCATAAAGGGGGATTCTTGCGAGTATGCACATGGTGTATTCGAATCTTGGCTCCATCCTGCCCAATACAGAACCCGTTTGTGCAAAGACGAAACGGGTTGTTCAAGAAAAGTTTGCTTCTTTGCACACAAGCACGAGGAATTGAGGCCGTTGTACGCTTCGACGGGGTCTGCTATGCCCTCTCCTAAGCCCGTTCCGGTGGAGTTGAGCCCATCTCCACCAATGTCCCCGTCGGTGGTTAATTGCTCGTCTCCCATGTGGATGCAGAACAAGATGGCGAGCCTTTCCACACCGCCGCCTTCTCTGCAGCTGCCGGGCAGCCGCCTCAAGTCTGCCTTGAGCGCGAGAGATGTCGAATTCAATATGGAATTGCTCGGATTGGAGAGAATCCGAACCCAACAACAGCAGAGGCAACTGGTGGAGGAGATGGCTGGCTTGTCTTCTTCCCCGTACAGAGATTTCATCAAACCTACGAATCTTGAAGATGTCTTTGGATCTCTCGATCCTTCGTTGCTATTCTCGCCGAAAATCAACAACAACAACACCAGCAACACGAGCTCTCCGACTGGGTTTCAGATTCGTCAGAACGCGAACCAGCTTCGGGCGAGCTACCCTTCGAACGGGGCTTCTTACGGAGGGTTCGACTCGTCTGCAGCCGTGGCTGCAGCGGTGATGAATTCGAGGTCGACTGCATTTTCGAAACGGAGCCAGAGCTTTGTTGACCGGAGTGGAGGTGGCTACAACAACCGGGTCGGGTTTGCGGGTTCGCCCAAATCGCCCGGCCCGTTGATGAATTCTAATAGTCTTTCGGATTGGAGCTCCCCGGATGGGAGGTTGGATTGGGGATTTAGTGGCGACGACGCCAACAAGCTCAGAAAGTCGGCTTCTTTTGGTCTTCGAAGCGGTGCACCAGTGGCAACGGGCATGGGTCGACCCGAATTGGACGGGTCGGACGGGTCGTGGGTTCAATCAATGGTGAGAGATGGTTCGGGCCGAGGTGGTCCGGGCCATGATATGATGCCTCATTGGGTTGATCAGATGTACATGGAGCAGGAGCAGATGGTGGCTTAAAGACTCAATCTTTTTTCAAGATTGTTCCTTTTTTATTTATTTTTACATTGACTGATATTCTTTCAGATTCTTATTGATGGGGAAGTGAAGAAAAAACATGACAAGTTCTTGGGGGAGGTGTAGTAATTAAATTACATATTGTTGCAGTTTAATTTTAGTAGAATAATTAGATTGAAGAAATAATTTTTATTTTCTTTTAATTTTTATATTCTTCCCTGTTGAAATAGTTCTTATGTAACAGTGTTAATTCTCATGTATCATAGAGAATGAGGAAATGAAAGCAATATTTATATATAAAGTTTTCTGCATTTCTGATGTAATAACTTGTTTATTTGTTCTTTCCATTCAATTGAATTTATTCTGAAATTGCTTGAAATTTCTTAGATTCTTTACAAAGATAAACAAAGGTTGCAAGAGATGGTGACAGGTTGTTTTATTCATTTTCCAATGTGTGAATAAATAAATAAAAGAATAAAAAGGGAATATTCTTGGGGGTTTCTTGGATAAAGGGAGGTGATAAAATAGTGAAGAAATTGGCATGATGGGATGTCCATATGAATCTCTTGGGATTAGGGCAGCCTAAAAAGAGAGCAAAATGGTGGGTGCTGTTTGGTAGTGGAGGTCACTATCTTTGTACAAGAATAGGTGTGCACTAAAAATAATTCATTTAGTTATTAATGGTGCAAAATATGGATTGTGAATTGAAATAAACCTGACAAAAAGCATGCGAATAATTATCATTCTCCCACACAAATCTACTTTTTTGTTAAACTCACTTTTTTATTATCTTTTTTTCTTCTTTTTTTTTTTTTCCCTTTTTTACATGTATTTTCATTTTTCTTAAAATAATTGTCGTTTAAGATTTCATCTCATAAATTAGAAAATTAGTGATTGATAGTATCTATGAGGAATAATAAGAGCAAATATAGAAAAAACTAGGACAGGAATTCGGATAGACAAAAATAAAATAAGGACAAAACTTGAAGTTGGATATTAGAGACTGAAATGTTGCAAGTCGTTTTACATTTATTAATACAATTTTGAAACTGTAAATCTTTGAGTTAGCTTTCGAATACAGTTTGAATCAACTAGAATGGATGTCGTACGATAAAGTTATTCATGCATGAATTACGTTTTGAATTTTAAATCAAAACATCACAGTTATAAACTCGGTCATCGACTCATTCATACATCCAATATTAGTAATTCAAGTTGAACTATAAAACTAACTCGACAAACTACAAATTTCAACCTAAAAAAATGGTCAAACTCAAATTTGAAGTCGAAATAGTATTATCGAAATTGAAACAACATTTATGATATGGATTATTCGATTATGAATCAATAATAAAGTGGGAGCTGACTTTTCTTGGGAATCACATTAGTAGTACAGGTGTGTGTTTTTGACTAAAAACGGGTCGGGTTTGGAGGTGGGAGGAAAGACATGATTGTCCACTTCAATTGACAGCCCATAAACAAGAAAATTCATTATTTGAATTATTCAAACGTGTGGGTCCCTTTCTGCAATTATATCTCTATTTCTCTCTCTTAAATAATTCATTGTTGCTTTATTGCACAGCCGCCCCTAAACTACTTTTTTTCTCTCTCTCTAGTCTCCACCGCACATAAACATATTTTTTCCAATCCATTATCCTCTCACCTTCAACTTTTTATTTTATTATTTTTTTGTGTTAACATTATTTAAAAACAAAAGGACCAAGTGGAAACATTGACCTAACTTTTGTGCACATATGAATTCATATTTGACAGCGACATCGTCCTTGAGGTTTTCTAGAATCTTTAATTCTAAATTATTTTATTTTGAGGGGTTTTTTTGTAAATTAAAAAACAATGATTTTTATTCTAATTGGACTATTGGGCTATTGGGCCGACTTAGTTTTCCAATTTAAAGTAAAGCCCAATTGGACCAATCTATTGCAGACTAGCCCACACAATTTTTTTCTTTTTGCAAAATAGAACAATAAATTTTATTTTCTTGAATATCCAACATAATAATAAATTTATAATTACCGGCGGTTTTAGTCTCTACTTTCGTTCACTCTCTCCGGCAGCAGCAAAAATGCTCTCAGGTTTCTCTCTGTTCTACAAACGTAAATAAATGTAATAAGTAATTAAGTGTATGAATTTTTATGATCCAGCAATGTTTAATGCTTGTTCGTCAATGGGGTCTGTCACTGTATCGGTGTCCACTGAGTGTCTGCGCGACAGGTGTTTGTGAAAATTCCTCACTGATTGAACTAAGTAATTTTTAAGCCTTTGCCCAAGAAAATAACCCTCTTACAACATCGCCGGATTGAAATGGTTACGGTCCAATAGCTTCTTTCAATCCTGGAATTTTGTATTGACTGTATTTTTTTACTTGATATTCATTTTTTGTCAGGTATAAATGTTGGAGTTCAGCTTCTGCCTAAAGTCTCTAGTGTTCGAAAATTTCCAGGTGTGTTTGTCAAATGGGGGTTGTATTTGGGGCCGCATATGATTATCCATTTCGATTCCGTTTTAATAAAGATGGTGGCATTGTGTGTTTGATTCTCCCCAACATTGTTGTAATTGGATACTTGGTAAACAATGCGATTCTAGCTGAATTTTATTCCAATATTTGACTTTGCTGCGCGAATGTGACAAAATGCGGGGTTTTTTTTTTTCCGTTTAATGTTAATTAGAAGATAATGTTTTTATCTATGTTCGAGATTCCAACTTCAAACAATAATATTATTATAGGCTAGTGAACATGATTTGTTGCCACTTGTATCTGCTGCACCTAAAACGGATCGCCTCTTGGAAAAATTAGATTGTATGTTCTATTATGCCACCGACTAGTGATAATACATAGTATTTAGTGTTTGAAACATTCTATCATTACAAGATTGGAAATTGATCTATTCTAACATTGCCACCAATCTGCAGATCTGCACTGTGAAGACGTGCATTTATCTAGCAGCCGAACTTTGACAAAGATGAAAACATGTGCATCAAATCAGCCGATACAAATTTCTTCTGCTAACAAGGAACATGAACATAACAGACCTCTAGTTAAAATGTGTGGAATCACATCAGCGAGAGACGCTGCTATAGCAGCAGAAGCAGGTGCAGATTTTATCGGAATGATTATTTGGCCCAACTCAAAAAGGTCCGTTTCCCTTTCTGTAGCTAAAGAGATTTCAAAAGCGGCACGGGAAAACGGAGCTCAACCGATTGGCGTATTTGTGGATGATGATGCGGAAACAATGCTGAGAGCTGCTGATAAAGCAGGACTCGAATACGTGCAGGTTATAGTTCTTTGCCAGCATTGTTTTACATTCTTTTAACTCTCCCCTCTCTTTGTTCAGTCTATACTCTCGTATACATGCAGCTTCATGGACATGGTTCTCGAAATGCTTTTCTTGATGTAGTGAAAGAAAATAAAATAATATATGTTCTTCACGCAAACGAGGAAGGGAATCTTTTGAATTCTGTTTCTGATGAAGAATGCTCTCAAGTTGATTGGGTTCTTGTTGACAGCGCGAAAGGTGGCAGGTACGAATATCTCGAATTCGGTAGTCTTAATTTACACTCTTAACTATCCCAAATCCTTTAGAGCAACAGTGTGATTATATTTTGCTAAAATATGAGAGCATAACTTCGATAATTTGCAGAGGCATTGATAGGAAAGAATCACACTCTGAATCATATTAATGGTGTCTTTTCTCAATATATTTTTGTTTTGGTGTCACGGTTGCAGTGGTAAAGGATTTAATTGGTCGAAGTTTAAGCTACCACCGATTAGGAGTAAACGAGGATGGATGCTAGCTGGTGGGATTAATCCAGAAAATGTGTATGAAGCACTTTCTACACTCAGGCCAACTGGAATTGATGTGAGCAGTGGCATTTGTGCCACAGACGGCATACAAAAAGATAACTCGAGAATATTGTCTTTCATGACGGCAGTTAATTCTGTGCATTATTGAGTGACGATGCTCAACGAATCTTTCCTTCTCAAAACCATGCAAAATAGTACGTGGTAATATCTCTAAAACCAGTTTATGTTTTCTGTTCGTAATTCTTAAGTTATGACGCATCACAGTCTCCGATAATCTTTGTTTCTCTTTATTTTCATCGGTCGGGTCTCTTGTATCGTATGACATTCTTTTATTAGTGGAATAAGAAACCATTGCTTTGTTGATTACGTTCTAATCATTTTACTATCACCTAGTTTCTTGTTAGTCATAAGAAATAAGGCACTAACATCACCGATAAGTGATAACTACTGAATACTCATCAACTAACAATAAGCTGCAGTGTATTTCATAAACCACAAGGACAATAAAATCCATTTCTCTTTTTCGGTTTGTCTGAATAGGTCCAGACAGGAATATGTATAAATAAATAAATTAATTAAATCACTAATTGTTGCGAGAAATCCATAATCGAGTTTCCTTAATTCAATTCAGGATCGGTCTGGTAATAGAGAATATCACCAGTGTCACTCACATAATGATCCTTTCTCATGCTTCTTAGGAGTACTCCCAGCAAGTAAATTGGAATAGGCCCCGATTTTTTAGGCTCCCTGTAATATTTTCCGAGCACCGGCTTTGCTGCTTCAGTCTGCAACACAGGAATTAACAAATATTCAAGAAATGATATTAGTATTTATTAGTATATTTAAACGAGATCAACTAAACCTACCGCTTCAATCAAATGATAGTGTGGGATTTGGGGGAATAGATGATGTATGACGTGAGTCCCTATGTCATGGTGGATGTTGTTTATCCATCCGTAATCACGATCGAGTGTTGTAAGCCCACCTCTCAAATAACTCCATTCCTGTTATAATAAGATAATTGTTTCGTTTTTCCCAATTTAAAACAATTTTCCTATTCTTTTTTTAAATCGGAATTTGAATTTTACCTTTCCGCGGTACCAAGGAAGCTTATCCTCATGGCCATGGTGATGTAAGTAGGTAACTAAATCAAGCCACATCACAAAACCCTGCATCAAATTCCCAATTTGTCAACAAGTTTAGAACTCTGTTAAGAAACTGAAACTACACTTATTTTCTATATCAAGAAAGTCGTGATAGTCGATCGAAACGAGTAGTGGATAGGATTTTAGAAGTAAAACTAACGAGATAAGGTATGCCGTAGAGTTTGAGCAACTGAACGGGACCCATAACGAAAGATAATCCGACGAGTAACGCAGACATTGCTGTCCAACAAACTGTAGAGGTTATTACATCTTTCCTCTCATTTGGGACAAACAAATCACTGTCTGGATTGAAGTGAGACCCTTTTTTCCCAGGACTTCTATTCCACTGTCGTCAAATCAACCGAAAAACATTAGTAAATTTGCCGGGAAAATCATGATCAAGAAAGTGCGTCTGTGTTTTTATAAATGGAAGAAAGCAGTTGTACCAGATAGATGGGATATGCCAGCATGGGAAAGGGCAATGTGAAACGCAACTTCTTGGTGGCATTGTTCAAATTCTTGTAAATTTTCTCAGGTAACTGGAATTAAAGAAAGTGAAGTGAAGCATAAAAATCGTTTCTTTATGTAAAGCAAGGTACGTAATTAAGCTACAGATTATGTGTAACAGATATACCGGGTGCCAAGATTCATCGTTCTCGACGTGCCCGTGGTTCTGATGGTGAGTCCTGTGACTAATTCTCCTGAAAAAAAAAATCATTCTCCATAATAATTCTGTTTAGGTTCATTTTCGATTATATAGATATATAAATAAAATAAAATAACACACCATCCATGATAAGGGACAAGAATAGAAGAGTGAAGGAGATGACCAGCAACACTGTTCAACTTGGGATCATTCGAGAAGCTTCCATGCCCACTGCATAATTCAAGAACCATAAAAAGAAAACCTTAAACTCTCAGAATATTCTTGAATAAAAAAAAAAAAAAAAAAAAAGTTAGTTAGTTAGTTAGTTACCAGTCATGGCCAAGAACAAAGAGAGCCCAGAACATAGTGGACTGAGCAAACCAGTACAGAGGCCAAAGAATCCAGGTGTTGTAATAAGCTGCAACGGCGGCCAATCCGAAAACGACAGCAACATCTCTGACAACGTAACTCATTGACCGCCATGGATCCTTAACCCAACAATGCTTCGGAATTGCTGCCTTTATATCTGTCAGCTTGAATGGGGGTGGTGCCCCCGCGTCGAATTCTTCTTCTTCTTCTTCTTCCTCCGTTTGGTGAGTTATTGAAGGCGGCGGCGCGCTCACCTTCAAAACCCAGTTTCTGTGTTGGGTAAACAACCCAACATTAATAATTGGGAAACAGAATGAAGAATGTGCTGTGGGAATTCTGAAATTTGATTGGATGGAATTCAAAGCAGATGTTTTTGTTGGTTTGGTGTAGATTCTTGGAATTGGCCTTACACCACATTCTGATACTACCCAACTAGCCATATTTTTCAGACTCACACTCACACTCAAACTCTAGAGAGAGCTAGAGAGAGAGAGAGAGAGGAGGGAGAGAAATGTATGGAGTTATATGTATGTATGTATGTATGTATGTATGCGCAAATGTGCTGAGTGGATATGTTTGTGTAGAGAAGTGGTTCGTTTATGTACACGTAAATTAATTAATTAGCCCATTGTTTTTAATTAGGTTTTGCCCACTTAACCGAAATAGAAACTAATAAAACTATGATTTTTATGAATCTCTCTATTTATGTTTTTGGTCGGCTTTCCCCTTACTGTTAACTCCACTTTTATTTTCTGGTGATTATTACTATTTAAATTAATATAGAACAGACCGTGGTGTTGGCATAACCTAATCAATGTCGGTGTTAAGTTTTTTAACAAATAATAAATACAAATAAATAAGAAAAAGTAACACAAGTGCGCTAAGAAAGAAGCATAGCTTCCCTCAAGCAGGGCCATCCACCAGAGTTGTAGAAAACATATTTAATTATATTATTCACCAGAAAAGTATGGAAATATATATATTTATATTTATATATATACGGAAAAGATTAAAAATAAATAAACAAAATAGTAATCGTGCGTGAATAATAACTATAACAGCGTTTATGGTTTAGTAGGATGAATAAACATTAAATAATACAACAGGACATAGTACTCCAACCAACTCATCACACGCCACTACTGGTAGTAATTATCAGTTCCAATTATTTTTAATACAACACGAATATTCCTTCTCTTTCAAATTAATTTAATTTCCACCTGCATACATAAAGACATTATTTAATTGGAATATCGAAAGATGCCCTATTCATCTTGAATGAACCAAAATGGTACGAGTGATGATTTCGATTTTCGAGTCCCTACAATTATTGGAAATGATTCTAATTAATGCTAATTAATTTAAATTATTTTCCCGTTTCAAATTAATCTGTTTTAGGGATTTTTTTTTCTTCAATATTCCAGTATCTAATTTTTTTTGGAATTTTAATAATGCTTTTTTTTTTTTGAAGTTTTGCTTTTATTAATCAAAACACTAAAGTCTTCATTTTATATATCTTGTAATAGTACTTTATTTAATGACAACTTAAGGTTGGACCATATGCAATGATTTGTGTGTGTGTTTAGAAAAACCTTAAATGACACACATTTAAAGCTATATTTGAATTAGTATAACTTTTTCAAGAAATAATTTAATTTTTTTTTTGCATGAATTATGAGTTATGACATTACCATATATAAATATTATTATCATCAGTATATGTTTTTAAAATATAGGTTGAAATTTAATCACTTAAAAACTGAATATTGTTTTCCATTTCTCTTGCAAGGCCCTTAATTCCCGTGAAGGCGGGAGAATCGCTTATATAAACAACCCACCCTACTCTCTCTCTCTCTCTCTCTCTCTCTCTCTCTACAATATGGCATCCTCAGCTGAAAAACCTCACCTCCACCACCACCACCTGCCTAGTACTCCCTTTGCCACGACGGCGGCGCCACCGCCAACCCCCGCTACGCAGCCCAACCTGACATCAGAATCCACCACCCACGACTTTCTCTCCCATCTCCTCCACCGCCTCCCTCCCGCCCTTTCTCTCTCCCTCCCCACCCGTCGCTCCTCCCCACTTTCCTCCTGCGCCGCCGCCGCTACCCCTCCTATGATCTCTCTCTCCGATCCGACGCCCACTCTCCACTCATCCCTCCTCTCCGCTTCCACCAAACTCGGCTTTTTCCACCTCACACAACACGCCGTCTCCTCCCACCTCGCTCTCTCCGCCGAATCTGCCGCCGCCTCTCTCTTCAACCTCCCCGACCACCAAAAAAAACACCTCTTCCCCAACAACTGGCCGCTCGGACACGAAATAGAAGATGACGACGACGACGACGACGAAAGCTCATCCGCCACCGAGTCGTTCTGTCTCGACTCGTCGTGCTCCGCCGAGTCAGAAAACGAGTTGAACATGGACTCACTGCGCGAGTTTACTCATGAACTGGAGAAGCTTGGATATGAGTTGGTTGAAGAGTTGGCTTCTGCTGTCGGGTTCGAGAAACCGGGTCGAAACGAGCTCTGTTCGCTGATGTGGATATCCGAAGGGATGAACAAACCGGGTCGGGTTTACCCGTATGCGTTGGGCTTGCATTACCAAATAAGGGCCCAGAAGCAGTCGTTGTTGTCGGATTCGGGCTGGGCCACCGTGATGAGGCCCGCGCACTCTATCTTGGTCACTCTTGGAGACATTGCTCATGTAGGCCCCACTAACTCTTTCTTTTTATATTTTAATATTACATTTTTCCGCAATTTAAATATATAATCTTATTTTGTCAAAAAAAAAAAATATATAATCTTATTCATTCATTTATTTATTTTTAAAGGCGACCAATATACATAATTTATTTTAATATATTATTATTATACATTTCCTATTTTAATCTGAAAACTCGTATGATTAATTAGTGTATTATTGATTATGTAGAGTGAGAAAGGATATTAGGATAAATATAAACCCCATGTGTGAGTGATTATTTAATTGAAATGGCTGTCAAAGCAGCCATTATTGAACCCTACAAACCCTAACAAATTAAATCTCTAGATTATATATTGACAATTCAATGACGTGTAAATGGAGCTGCTCTTTTTAGGTGTCTTAATCCACATCTTCAAATGAACATGAAATGAGTTTCATTCGCATTTGGCTACATACGTTAAGGTCAAATTAATTACAATTAGCTGACCACTTAATATACGTGTAATTAGGCAAAAAATAACATGTCATAATTAAAAATGAGTATTTATGTGGAGAGAAAATATCACTTGGTATTTTTCTTAAAAAGTGTAATGATTTTGGCTTTTTATTTATTTATTAAAATTGGTGTTATTAATTTGATTAATTAGGGTTATCTGATACTAATACATGACAGGTTTGGAGTAACGGTAAGACGAAGAAAGTGAGAGGAAGAGGAGGTATTCCAATTAGTTCAGGTGGTGATGTCGACGATTGCATGACAATGTCTTTGCTCATCACACTTCAATTGGAGAGCACCGTCTCCCCTCTCGTTATCGGCTTAGTCGCTGATCGAGAATGCGATTCTACGGGTGACGACGACAGATCATCGGAAGCGCCATTGTTCAATTCCTTCTCTTTTGAAGAATACGCGTGGAGAGTTTATCACGAGCGTTTGCTCCTCAAAGATCCTCTCATTAGATATCGTGTTTGATATTATCTATTTTGTGGTGGTGTTGTTAAATGGACTTTAACAATTTTGATTTTGATTTTATTTTTTCAAATTAATATATCGTGTGTTTTGAGTTTCTTTTACGATAACCAAAATTGGCCCACTTTCGGCAAATGTGGCCCAGCAGGCCCAATGTGCAACACTGGTAAATTAATATGATAATAATATTCCCAACTAATTACTTTTACACCCTTACCTAGGATAATAAGATAATAAAAGTTACATGAAAGCTTCTTCTGGAGTTTAACAAGAATTCAGATTCCTAAGAAAAATATTGAATCCACCTCATTAATCTATTTTCTTTGCGGCGGTCTAACACTTGAAGCTCCATAGTAAAAAAGTACCAGTGATCGGTATAACCCTGAGAATTTTCTCGACCATCTAATCTTGATTGTTGGTTCTTTATGCTTCGATCCCTACCACTCACTCGAGATATTTAGCATCCCCCTTTTTCCCAAAACATACTTTCTGATCGTTTTCTCATCTCTCTCGTCTGGTTGTACCACTGTATTCACTGTGTCTTGCCATTTAATGTCTACATGTTCGTTTAACTATGACGATGGATGTACCATTTTTGTTCTCTACTTTTGAGACAATTTTCGTTTTTCATCTATGTAGCAAACCATTTTGTGTGGGAGAGAAGTAGAACAAACTCAATTGAATTTCTAGTCTCTTTAGATTTCTATTCTTCGGTGAGCGAGTAATATACACTTCTGAGTGAAGAAAACACATGAGAGTTCAAAACCAGTGAGATTGAGAGTTTGAGTGAGAGAGTTGACCAAAAATTAAGTGGTTCTACTCAGACTTAGAGTTTCGGTGATAGAATTTGTGCGGGGCTTTTGGTGTCATCGCCAGTGAATTCTGGACGAGAAAATATGACATTGTTTGAGCCGTAAACAAAAAGTTTATCATCTTCTTCATAGAAGTTTTGCACTATGTAGCTTTCATGTTACGACATTTTTCCATTTCTATAAGATCATTATGTAATAAAATAGAATTCTATAATAAAATAGAATTATATATTGTATACTATTTATCTTCGAGTTCAAATGAATGCCCAACAATGCACAGTATTACAAATATATCAATTTCAAAGACAATCTCAAGCTTCTACTTATCAATGATAGTTTTGTAATTGTTTTATATTTTACAAGGTATTGAAAGACAGTAGACACATTCAACGTTTGTTCATTAGATAATTCAAACACAAATTAGAACTTTACATTTTCTTGAATGTATTCATCTATTGATTCCTCTAATTTCTATGAATTTATCAATAGTTTCACTAAATTAATAAAATAATTCAATCCCGAATTTATTAATTTTATAGAGGTTTAACTATATTTATTTTGTCAGTCCCCTAATTTTGTTTCATACTATGCAATATATGCACTCATCTAAGAAAATATTAAAAAAAAAATTAATAATAATAATAGTATTGGGCCAAATTCTTATTTGTAAAAGATAAATTTATTTAATATAATTTGGGGATGAAAATCCTAATAACAGTAAATTGTGGAAACCATATTTAATGGCAGTATTTTTATTAGGTTTGTATGTATAGCTGCAAAATTTTCTTCCGATGTCCTTTCCGGCGTATTACTTCCGTCTCAGGTACTTCACCTCTTCCAGACATGAATTACACACACACACGAGCACATATACTTACACACTTTTATACTATATGTATAGATACATATATATAATTGCATTATATTTACATATATATATGGTATTTATTTATATATACTGAGCATCAAATTTTCTGGTTCAATTTCTGAGCTTCGTTTCTCCTTTGCAGCTTAGAGGAGAACAATTGACCATTTACATGAGAGATTAGAATTAAATTGTTGATTACGGCTTCAATGAGGAAAAGAGTCCGACTTACAGAACCCAAGGTTTGATTGTTAATTAATTTTAATTAACGCTAATCCACGTTCATGTAATTGATTACCAACAATAATAATCATCGTTTTCCTTTTTCCAAGGAAAAAAAATTACTCTTTATTCTTTTTTATGATGATTAGACGATGAAATTAATTAGATTGGGTGTTGATCTGATTGATACTTCATTTTACTCTTAAAATGTACATGATTGTGTGTCTGAATTGATATGAGCTGAAATTGGATATACTAACCCTTTTGTTCTGTTTTTTTTTTTTTAATTGGGGTTAACTTTTTGTGATGGAAGGATGAGTTTGATCCAGAAGATTACATAAGTTTATTGCCGGATGATATTCTTGTTTCTATATTATCCCGTTTAACGCTCAAAGAAGCTGCTGTCACGAGCAATTTATCGAGGAGATGGCGGTATTTATGGACTAATGTAACCGGATTGGATTTCGACGCGAACGAAACGCTCGACAGCATCGCTGCGAACCCGAAATTACGAAGTTCCGAGAGGCCGAAATACATCAATTGGGTGAACCGTGTGGTGAGGCAGCATAAAGGCCCCACATTGAACTCCGTTCGTATATGTTTCGATTTGGACAAGACCTCGAAATGCGCTATAGACAATTGGGTTAAGTTCGCCGTTGCAAAGAGAGCTCAAAGGCTTGAGCTGGACTTGTTGGAAAACGGGGAGATTCTTCGTCAGCCGATGCGTAACTATACTTTTCCGTATAAACATTTTAGTCAATGCAAGTCTTCAAGAACGCAGTCGAGTATATCTATAGGTTTGAAATGCCTCAAATCTCTCTCGTTGAAATGCGTGAACGTGAACGTGGGTTTCGTCTTGTCCAGCTGTCCAGCTCTGCAGTACTTGTCAATACACGGCTCGGGGGATTTGACTAATGTTAAAGTCAGCGGATCGTCACTCGTGTTGAAGTACTTAGAGATAGTCTTTTGTCTTGGAATAGACACAATTGAAATCACTAATGTGAATCTTGTCTCGTTTAGTTACTTGGGCCCCACGATTAAACTAATTATCAGTGATGTTCCTATGCTTGACGAGATCTCGATCGGAGAGGGATATTCTGGATTGGAGAACAATGTTTTTGGCCAGCTTTCGTGTTGTCTTAATCAATTAGAGGTTCTTACATTGGATATATATCGCCCCGAGGTGAACAAAACAGAGTCTTTTTCTTTATTTCTTTCGTTTTTTATTTCTTCTGATGAAGTGTGAAAACATGTGGACCCCACTTTGTTTTTTTTTCTCCTCCAGGAAAATATAAAGGTTTTTGCATTTCCCGAATTTCCGAATCTCAAGCAGCTAATTCTGAAAGTTGGAGCGTGGGATGATGACAGTCTCCTCGAATTCACTTCCCTGATAAAGGCTTGCCCTATTTTGAACAGATTTGTGTTGCAGGTATGTGTTTTTTAATCTATTTATATATAACGGTTTAGTAACCCTAATTAACCGATTCATAAAGTTAGTCTTCGTTAGTTAATTTACGTGACATATTCCAGCAAGTTTTTATACGGTAAAGTGTACACCGTCTCAACATGCAAATCTGTTTCTTACTATAAAATATTTGCTGTTCTGTGTTTTGATGCATATTTTCCTCTAGAGATGCTCTGAAGCGAAACGTTTGACTATGTTCATTTTGGAATCGATGGATATGCTTTCACATGCATAATCGGACAAGGATAACTAGTTCTTTAGACCAAGTTCTTGATTACATTTGTGGGTTTTTTTTTCTTTTTCGTAATCTTCCTTTTGACATTGTTGTTGCAGTTAATATGGATGTCACCGACAAAAAGAAGAAGAAAAATAAAGCAAGCTGCGAAATGTAGGCACGAAACCCTGAAATTGGTGGAGCTAGTGGGGTATTTTGGGCGTACGAGTGATGTTGAACTGGCAATGTACTTTATCGAAAATGCAGTCGCTCTTCAGAAGATTATAGTTGACCCTCGTAACCAAATTCTGGAGAGATCGCCATTGAGGATCGAACAAATCAGGAAAGAGGAATTTGCTAGAAAAAGGGCAAAGCACCAGCTCGGATCGAAGAAGCCTCCAGGTGTCCAATTGATCATCCTTTAAACGCGAAAACAAACATGTCTGTTATTTAATTTGTAATTTCTGTGGATGAGGAAGAAGATGAAGCTAAAGGAAAACGCATACCGGGCTCGAGTACTAAAGGAAAGAATGTCATGTTAGAGAGAAGGTTAGCTTATAAGGGAACTTATACATAATACCACCCTGTATTCTACACATTTGAATTCCCGAACGAGGGGTTTTGTTGTTTCTTGCTAATGAAATTGTTAGTGACATTACGGTTTAAGCCGTCACCGACATTGCGAGATCGGCTTTTTTTTAATATTTTTTTCGTTCCAATTTCACATATTCCAATTTTCTGAAATTTTTCGGAGCGATTTGGAAATATTCTGATTTTCTTTTTAATGGTAATTTCGATCCATCTGATTTCCACCGACGTTCGACCTCTTCAAAAGGGTGAAATCACGGGCCATGGTAGAGCCCGTTTAGTCGTATAAGAATGAAATACACACATGAAACATGTTTCAAACTTAACTGAAAACAAAATTACACATTTTTATTGCATTCGATCGGCCTCAGACACAACTGAAAAAATTCCGGTGGGCGTGTGTATTTGTACTACCAACTTGTCACTAAAAACTGTTCAAAACGTCGCTAGAGAAAGGAAACGGATATGGTAAGCAGACCAACAATCCTATCAGCAAAACAACAATCCCGAGTGCTTTATACTTGTCTTCAGGATCACTAATCTCCTCAGACAACGGTGCAATCGGTCCTCTTTGTAAGAAGAATATCAGAACCACCCAATAAAATGACACGTCACTAAACAACGACGACAGTCCAAGAAGCGCAATCGATACACCAGTCAATCGAGACGAAACCTGCCCAAAAAACATTAAATATTATATGTATAGTTAATTATATATAACAAACTATTTGATAAAATAAATACCTTTCTTCCCCATATGGCAAAAGAAATACGGCCACCGTCAAGCTCTCCAGCTGGAATACTGTTGATAGCGTTAATAAGAAGTCCAGCCCATGCCCATATTACCAGTGGATTTACCGATAAAGGGGTTCCTTCTTTTAGAACATCTCCGAGTAGTACCTTAGCTATTAAAAAAAATTGAAAAAAAAACGGTCGATTCAGTATTTTCAGTGTGCTAACAAATATACTTATAAAGATAAAATAAAATATTTATTTTAACCTATTCCACCAATGAGGAGGGATTCGTGAAATACAGAAGAATCGACAACAACGCCCAGCTGATCAGATGGAGGGAGGACAAACCCTAAGAGCAAAAGCACAAAGCCTAACGAATATCCGGCTACTGGACCAGCAGCTGCAAGTTTAAGTAGGTCTTCACGCTTTGGTACGATATTCAGAATTCTTGTTATTGAACCAAACGAGCCTATCTGCCATTTTATGCTGATTAGATTTTTCCACATTCGGAGTCGATTTTTAAGATTAGGAAAAACGGGGAAGAACCGCACGACTACCCCTTACCTGCCAACTAGGAACAAAATATGGCACACCGAGCTTAACTCCAGCTTCTTTTGCAACTAGAAAATGGCTGATTTCATGTACACCTAGAATAAGCGCAGTCACGAGAGCTCCGGAAAGCCCGTCTTTTAACAAGTCAACATTGTCGATTACTGATCTGGAGAAGATTGATAAATCGATCTCAATGACTATAAATTAAACTTGTGAGACCGTGAAATGCAAGCAAAACCATTTTCGAGAACCGATATTATTTTAAAAAAATTACCTCAATATTATAGAAAACACCCACGATAAAAAGAAAAAAAGAACTCACAATAGATTTGTCTGTAATGCAGGAACATTACGAAGAAGTAAGGTGAATATGGTGACCAATCCAAAAGCCCCCGCAGCAAACCATTCTGGTACAGCTGCACTCCCCGAAACCAAGAATTAATAACAGTTCGATAATCAATATTAAAAGCCGTATCTAATAGAAAAAAAATACGTTAACAATATCCAATCGAGGAATAGCTAATCAATTACCAGCGGTGTCTGGTTGCAAGGCCTTCCTTGGCACCACAACTGCTACAGGTTTATCATCATCGGGATTAATTAGAAGGAACAATTTGAATTGATCTCCCAATCGATCCTGTACATATTATGTAAAGTTACGTCAGAAATAATATGACCACTTCGAAGGAGCTTTTGAACACGGATAGAAGATAAAGAGGCACCGACTTTCAATCTCCTTGCTATTTTCTCGTAACTTTTTGCAGCTTGCCCCCGTAAGTTTCCCTTGAATAATACCCCACCCTGTAAAATGGAAAAAAAAAATAAAAATGAAATCTTTCACATTCCCACGTAGAACCTAGTTTTTCGCTTTCCTAGGAAATCCACATGAGTTTACCATCATACGAACTCACTTCGTATGGTTCTTGGCTGGTCACGAAGAATGTATCGAATCCAAATACTTGATCCTTCAGAATATCAATTGTTTCCTTGGGAATCCTGATTGATTCATCAAATTCCAGCCGCTGTTTATCGAGTTTAGAAGAGATAAGGAAGACAAATAATTAGTAGAGAGAGGAACAACGGGGGTTTTTGGGGGTGGCGGTGGAATCAAACAACTATTTCAGAATTGATTCGACATTATTATCACCTTCACACCTGGGAGGGGCGATCCACTCGCGACCGGAACATCATTAACAACCTGTTACATCGTAAGGTAAATAACAAAGGAAAATCATTTGAGAAAATACAAGTCTAAAAATGAAAGACTCGAACTTCTCTATTATCACTAAACCGCATGTATATATATGAAGTACCTCAAGTTTGGGTTGGGCTTCGTTTTTTTCATCACTACCATCGTTTACCAGGCTCTTAGTCTCGAGAACGCTCGACTCCGCAGATTGACTGTCACCCTAGGAAAAATCACTAGCACATCAGCAACCAAAGAAAAGTAATAAATTCCATGGTGAAAAGAGAATCTACTAAGACAACCAGTTAACTTTAACAAATGGGATTGGTCATTAACCACATTTTGAGAACCCAGCTCCGTGTTGACTGAATCGCTCGGCACGAATCCCTCCTTTTCTCCATTCAATTCTCTTTCCTTCAAAAATTCAATATCCATTTCATTAATAAAAACAAAATGTCAACGAAGTACAACAGAACGGAATGAGGATTCCGTAGAACTAAACAATGGAAACCATACCTCCTCGTTATTACTTTCCGGTTCAGTCTCCGCCTCACTCGCTCTGCAAACCACCTTTAAATTTCCCCTGAACGCGTCGCTACACGCGCACAATAGATAAATCAAATTAAAAAAAATTCAGCTTCAGAGATTCTTTATTATCAAATTACACGAAAGAGAAACCTCAACAGGTGGCGAGAGCTGAACTTCCAATCGGCAATCGCCGGATAAGATAACCGAACGTGGGCGCAAGAATTGCACTGCGACAAGGGAACAGCAAAATTCCCGCCAAAACTCGCCGGTAAGTTCATTGCTGCTAGTAGACTCATTAGTTCTGTAGAGTTCAGTCAACTGAAATCGGCAAACATCGAAATGCAGAAATTAGGGTTTGTTAATTTAGGGGGGAGAACAAATTCAAGGGTTTTGCCTCAAAAAAATTGATGGGAATTGGAGGGGTTTTGGGGATGGAGTGTGTGGGAGGGAGGTTGTTAAGTATCTTATCCATTGGAGCAAAAATCATCTCAGAAACGAAATCGGAATATCTTAGTATATTATTTTTCCTCGGTTTTTGGTTCGTTATTTCAGTTAGGTATATACTTAAAATCTAATTTCGCTTTATTATTAGCCAATAGGTTTTAAACACGTGTAATGCCTACCAATTAAAATGCATTAAAAGCTAAAACAAATCCAAATTCTATCCAAGAACATTATTAATTAATAAATAATCCCTAAACTGCTGAGCAATTTTGCCAATTTCAAAAATTGCCCATCTAAGCAAAAATGTCACCACAATTATAAAATAATAATAATAATAATAATAATAATAATAATAATAATAATAATAATAATAATAATAATAATAATAATAATAATAATAATAATAATAATAATGAATTAATAAAAAAAAAACACACACACAATGTAGAATTAACTACATATTAGATAGATCATTCATACACTAATCCAAGTACGTGGAGAAGTTTTCAACTCAAATTCAAAAAAGAAAAAAGAAAGAAATTAAAGGAGAGTGTTAAAAATTCCGGTCATCGATCCCACCTTGACTCGCGTCTTCCCGTTGACTTATTCACATCGATCGGACTTTTGGAAACTTCTCGAGGCACTGCAGCTTTCAGAACAATGAAATCATCAACGTCATCCTCTTCGTCGCTCTCGATCCACCCATAGCAAGGCAGGCGCCTACGTGTCGGAACGTTATTGGCCGAAGATGGAGGATCGTTCCTCGAACTATGTTCTTTCGTCTCTGTCCCTATGTCATCTTGTGCACTACCTTCGCTCTGACATGGAAGAATGTCTTTCCAAGCATTATCGATTTCTTCTTGAGCTGGCACTGCATTTTAAACGTATTCGAGGGGGGTATTTTCGGGATATAAGATAGATAAAATCAAGAAACAATTAACAAGGTCATTTTTTAAGTTTGACTGATTAGAAATTACCATTGGTGATTTGAGGGGCTGCTAGTGTAGGTTCTTGTACAGCTGTACCAGAGGGGCCCGCAATATCTTCAACCGGAGCATCGTCTTCAGGGTTTTCATCCTGTAAAGACGAAAAAAACAGGATAAATATGATATATAACTGAAAAGTACTACGAGTTTCTGTTTTACTTATTAGTTGTCGGCTCATTCTGTATCGATATTTAACTTGTCAAGTAAGAGGCAAAACAAAACTGAAACGAACGATTCGTTCCGATGCTATTTTAGTATTTTACAAATCCAATTACTCGGTTTAAGACTTGCATCAACGACTATGTCGTCTGTCCGTCTTTTCAACCACAAATGCTCCGCCTTTAATCCCAAACAGAAAAACAGTTTACTCGTAAGAATAACAGAGAAAAAACTTTGTTAGATTTTTTCGTATTCTATTAAGCATGTACGCTTGGAGGAACACTTGTTATTATTATTACTTATTGCAGGTCAAACAAAAGAAACGCAATAGTACACACCCCAAATAATAAATATTCGAGTTTGATGTAATAAAACTTGATAAAAGAAATACGAAAACTTCGTCATACCTCCATCAAGTTTTCATGCTTGACAGCTTGCTCTTGATCATTCTCTTCACTATCACCCCGAAGCATGGCCTCAATTAGTTCTTTATACGAGCATTCCTCAATGAACGGCCATGAGTCGACTCCACCGTATTCCTTTTTTTTCCAAAAAAATAAAAAAACACTAACTATGCTTCATCATATCAAAACACTATTCACACACATTGCCCATGTTTATACTCTAATCCCTTTTAAAAACTCCAAAAATATCTCCGATTTGGCGTTTCAACAACTTTCTGCTGAAACGAATATACCTAATGATCCCCTTTCGAGACCTTCTAGCGTTATTTTTCATGTTTTCCCGCGCACAAAACACCACAATGCAAATGCGTTTAAAGTTTCGAGATATGAGAATCGATATGGAAAAAAAAACGAACAATCCAAACTTCAACACATGCTCTTTATTACATTAAAATGTAATTAAATTATTTTTACAAGAATCATATACCCAAGTACCAACCACCTACCTGGTCATTATGTATGATTATCCTACTCCATTTATTATCCCCATCATTTTATTTTAGAAATCAAAACAGGTCAAATGAAAAATTGCCCAACAAACATCGGATCAAGGTTGGATTAAAAAAAAAATAAAAAAATCATATAAATGAAAAAAAAGGAAAATGAAGAATGGAAACACTCAGAAAAAAGGAAAATCATAAAAAATAATTTAAAGCTTACCTTGAGAAGTTCTTTGACGTATTTCTTCACTTTGTCCTGCGGGAAACCTAACTGCCCCATTGCGTCGACCGCCGCATCCATTCGCGTGAGGCGCGGCTAAAAAAAATTCAAAATCAAAACCCGAATTAAATAAATATAAATAAAATTACATGTGAGCAAACTGCAAAAGTGTAACAACCCCATGGAAATATGACGGCAGACATTGAAGAAATTAAAAAAAAAAAAAAAAAACCCTAGGAAATACAGATGATGGTTGATTCAACCTAGTAAAAAAAAAAAAAAAAAAAAAGGGAAAAACCTTTCTGGGTCTGCCTCTCGGCGGCATCTCTGAAATTTCTTCAGCTTTCACGCACAACTCACAGTAGAAGAAAGCACACAGTGGGAAAACACAGTTGAGATAGTACAAAAAGACTTGGTTTTTTATAAGGCTAAAAATGGGTAAGGAGATGAGTAAGGGTGATTATGGGTGCAGGAGGCAAACAGGCTTCAAAGAGGAAACTAGTTTGAATGCATGCCAGTGCTGTAACCAATACCCATTCGAGGCGTAATATTCCCTCGTTGTACACGTGGCGTCTGATCATTGGTTCGTTGTTTATTGACTTACAATATGTGCCAATACTTGTACTCTGTGTTCAACTGGGTTGTACATATTTTAATTAATAATAGGAGGAAGAAGCCCAATATCGATGGCCCATTAATGCAATTCAGAGCCACAGCCGTTAGATCTTAATAGGAAATGCCAATCCAAACCGTTGGTTTTTAGGTCACCGTCTTGTTAAAAACCCTCAACCCACACAAGGCAAAATCCTCGACTGTGAATTCTCGCATTTGGCTTCCACCACCATTTTCAACCGGCCCTAAAAGCTTGAATCGAAGAGGCTAAGAGACGGCGCCGCCGCTGTCCACCTCGACATAGCCACTGCTACAGTGCTACGTCTTGGCCCTCGTTTTTGCATCTCTTCCTCTCATACACCTAGGGTTGCGTACATACTCATATATCTAGATTCAGTTTCTCTGTATTTAGGCACATACATTTTGTTTCTTCTAGCTGACAGAAATGGCACCTAAGGTATCAAAGGCCGATAAGAAAATCGCTTACGACAAGAAGCTCTGCAATTTGCTCGATGAGTACACACAGGTGTTGGTGGCGGTGGCGGACAACGTCGGCTCCACTCAGCTGCAGAACATTCGGAGCGCGCTTAGGGGAGATTCGGTGGTTCTGATGGGTAAAAATACTATGATGAAGAGGTCGATCCGAATCCACTCTGAGAACACTGGGAACAAAGCTATCCTTGCCCTAATTGATCTCCTTGTTGTAAGTCCCGCGATTCCCTGTTGATTTTGGTTTATTAATGTAGCTGGTTGTATCAATTAGGTTAAGTAATTGGGTAAATTTCGTAATCAATTAGTAGGTAGAATCTTACTGTTGTTTGTTTTGCTATGATTGGACAGGGGAACGTTGGACTAATCTTCACTAAGGGTGACTTGAAGGAAGTGACTGAAGAGGTTGCCAAGTTCAAGGTGAAATTGTTGTTCTTACCCTTTTTATTGCCTGCCTGTCTATATATTGTGAAGTTGACTCAGTTGTGGATTAACTAGTTACGAGTGCAATGTAATTGTTTCGTGTTGTGATCTATGTATGTCAGTGTGGTTGCTGTTAGGTTTATCCTTTATTGAGTTCTTTACA